GCAGCAGCAACAACTGCAGCAGCAACAACTGCAGCAGCAGCAACTACAGCAGCAACTGCAGCAGCAGCAGCTGCTGCAACAGCAGCGCCACTACGATTTGCCGGGGCAGCAAGAGCAGCAATGGCAGTAGCAGCAGCAGCAGCAAACAGGTGGACCCTGTTGCTGCTGCTGCTCAGCAGCAAGGTCTTTCTTACAGTGTCTGTATACCCCAATTAGGGTTTAGGGTTTAGGGTTTTTGGCCCTTTCTGCTGGACGGCCAAAGGGGTTTGGGTGTAGCTACAGCTCGCCAGCCTTTAAGGGGGTCCAGGGTTTAGGGTTTAGGTGTCAACCAGCAAATTAGGGTTTGGCGGCTTGAGCTTCTCAAACCCTAAACCCTAAACCCTAAGGGTTTACAGAGGAGCTGTTCACTGCTGCAACGGCAACAGCAGCAACAGCAGCTGTTGCTGCTGCTGCTGCTGCGATGGCAACCTTCTAGTGGGCCTGTGTCGCTAGGCTACTGCAGCAGCTGCTGCTGCAAATGCTGTTGCTGCAGCAGCTGCTGCTGCTCCGGCAAGTGCTGTTTCTGCTGCAGCTGCGAGTGCTGCAGCACCAGCTGCTGCAGCTGCGCTGCTGCAGCTGCTGCAGCAGCAGCTGCTGCTGCTGCTCATTTGCTGAAGCAGAAAGCCAGCAGGGGCTCCAGCAGCTTGCGGGACAAACAAGAGTTTACCTGCGGCGGCAGAAAAGCCCAAACCCCAAAATAGGGTTTTGCAAACCCCAATTGTGGCCTAAGTCCCGCCCGCCAGCAAACTGAACCTGAGAGCTTTTGTAAACCCTAAACCCTCGTCTGCAAACCCTAAACCCTCGTCTGCAAACCCTAGACGCTACTCACCTCTGGGAAGAAGCAGCCCTGCACTTGTCCTGCGTCGTCGCTTATATTCGTAAACCCTAATTTAGGGTTTGCGAGTACCCTTGGGGGCCCCTTGACTTCCGCTCCTGGCCTTATGTTGTCGCAGCAGCTCAAGAAGTCCCGCGCCGCTGCTCCACAAACCCTAAACCCTAAACCCTAGGCCTCAAACCCCAAACCCTAGCTCTTAGCTAAATCCCAGACCCCAAATCCTAAATATTAGACCCTAAACCCTAGATCTTAAACCCTAAACCCCAGATCTTAAGCCCTAAACCCTAGATCCTAAACCCTAAACCCTAGATCTTAAACCCTAGGTTCTAAATTTTATTCTACGCCCACCAAGCTGCATGTAGCTATTCTGGGGACTGATAATCAAAGGGAAGGAGCGAGGGTTTAGGGTTTAGGGTTTAGGGTTTGTGGACGGACTCTCGAATTTGTCTGCTGCGGCCTCCACAGCAAAGATTGCCAATTGCCTTCGAAGCCCTGCAGCACAAAAACCCTAAACTTTAAACCCTAAACCCTCGTCTGCAGATTGCACAGCGTTGGAGCCCTAAACCCTGAACTCAGCTCCGCCGGCCCTAAACCCTAAACCCTAAACCCTCTAAACCCTAAACCCTATAAGCCTTAAGCCCTAAACCTCCGCTCCGCCGGCCCTAAACCCTAAACCCTCTAAGCCCTAAACCCTATAAGCCTTAAGTCCTAAACTCTAGAAACCGCAGACCCTCTAAACCGTAAACCCTCTAAACCCTAAACCCTCCAAGCCCCAAACCCTAGACCCTCCAAACCCTAAACCCTCGAAGACCCAAAACCCTAAACCCTAGACCCACGGCTACAGTCCTCTGTCGCGGGGCTCACTGAAAGCAGCACGCATATTTTGCTGCTGCTGCTGCTGCTGCTGGATTCTCGTGTCTGCAGCAAAAGGAGCAATTTTGAAAATCCAAAAACAAAAAAAGATAAATAAAACTATCCTTTTTTGATTTAATAAAATTAATAAAACCATTTTTTCCCCTTTTTAATTTAATAAAACTTTTAATTTCATAAAGATGCAAAAAATTAAAAAAAGAATTTCAAAAAATAAAAAGCTCTCAAAAGCCTGCCACTCAAGTACCGCATTTCGATTGCATTTAAATTTAATTTAAATTAATTTAAATTTAATTTAGATTAAAATTAATTCAATTTAAATTGCATTTAAATTAAATCTGAATTAAACTCAAATATGTTAATTAAATGCCATTTAAATGGCATTTAAATGGCATTTATTAATTTAGAAAAAGAAATAAATAAATAGAATAAAAGTGGTTTGAATTAAACCATTAATTGCATTTTAAGAATTTAAATTCTGACAACTTCTTCGAATAAAATTTTTTTTCTTTTTTCTGTTTGCCACAAAAGTTCGACGCTGATTGTCAAAGAGGAAAACACCACCTGAACAAGCCCCAAAACGCATGCATGCTGCTGCTGCTGCTGCTGCTGCTGCTGTGGTTGCGGTGGTTCGTGTTGCTGTTGCAGCTGCTCTTGCTGCTGCTCTTGCTGCTGCTGCTGATACTGCTGTTGCTCCCACTGCGGTTTCTACTGCCTCTGTTCCTGCTGCTTCTGCTGCTGGTGTTCTTGCTGTTGCTGCTGCTGCTGCTGCTGCTGCTGCTTAAATAGCAGCGAGGGGCCCCAGGGGCCCCAAACTCACAGAGCACTTAGGGTAAGAAAAGGCCTTGTAGTCGCTTTTGAGCAAGGCCGGGACACCCTGAGCAGAAACGAGGGTTTAGGGTTTAGGGTTTAGGGTTTGGGGTTAGGGTTTAGGTTTTAGGGTTTGGAGTTTAGGGTTTGCCAGCAACAGTGCGAGCTGCGGGGGGCTTTGGCTGCGACTGGGCACAGTGCAAAAGGAGGCCTGGGCTCGCGGGCCGAGGGTTTAGGGTTTAGGGCTTAGCGTCTAGGGTTTAGGGTTTAGGGTTTAGGGTTTACGAGGGCCAGCTGCCTCTCGGGGTCAAACCTGAGGGCCTCAAACCCTCTTTTCACTTTCTGCACTTTCTCGGGGCCCCACTGCAAGGGTTTGGCCAGCCAGGCCAGCGCATGAGAGTCTCTGCACAAACCCTAAACCCTAAACCCTAAACCCTAAACCCTAAACCGCAAAGGCCAGAGCCTTGGAAGCTGTCGCTACAAAGGCTAGACTGCTTCCTGAGGGCTGCGTCTGGAGATGCAGGGGAAGCCCGCGGGAGGCTTTAGGGTTTAGGGTTTAGGGTTTAGGGTTTGAGACGCACACTTCGTTCCAGCGAATGCCGCGGAGGTCGGGGCTGCATGCGACGGTGTCTGCTCGCCACAAGCAAACAGCTAGCTAGCTAGCTAGCTAGCTAGGGTTTAGGGTTTAGGGTTTAGGGTTTGGGGCTTAGGGTTTAGGGTTTGGCTTGCCTGTGATAATGGCTCCTATAAGAAGCGCCGCGAGGTCTTGAGGAAGGGGCGGCAAATTGTTTTGTGTCTGCAGCGCCTTTAGCTGCATCCCAACTCCAAACCCTAAACCCTAAACCCTAAACCCTAAGCCCTAAACCCTAAACCCTAGGCCTCATTGTGTGCAGCTGCTGTCCTGCTCAGCGAAGCCGCGAACTTTTGCGGAGCGCCAACTCTAGGGTTTGAGTTCAGGGTTTGGACTCAGACCCCAAACGAGGGTTTAGGGTTTAGGGTTTAGGGTTTAGGGTTTACGCAGAGGGCAATTAAAGAAGCGCAGGAGCCAACTTGAGGACCCGCAATTCGCTTTTTTGTGGTTTCTGAAATTTGCTTTTTGTCTTCGTGGTGGTCTATGCAGCTAATCACGTCTTCCAGCCACCTGCAAACCCTAAACCCTAAACCCTAAACCCTAAACCCTCGGTCGCAGCGTTGCCCTAGACCCCACAGTGAAGCGGGAAAAACGCCTCAAGCAGCACCCGCATGCGCCTCTGGCAGCAGCAGCAGCAGCGGCAACCGCAGCAGCAGCAGCAGCAGCAACAAGAGCAG